TACTTTGAGTTTTGATAAAGAACATTGATATACATGAAAAACGGTTGGTTAGAACCATATAACTAATAATACAATCAGTAGCTGTCAAAAAAAAAAACTAATAATACAACCAGTAGTAAAATAGATAAGACATGTGTAACTTTAGTGACAAATTTACTCTATTTTTTTTGGGTCAAATTTACTGTATATCCACACTAGTATTGAAAGAATATTTATCAGATTATGTGTGAAGTTTGTTGAAATAATTAAGTTGACATTATATATCTTTGTAAAGTGGAAAATTAATTAATTGCGCTATGAATAAAGTATATACTCTCTCCAACTTAATTTTCCCTCCATGATAGTCCCCACTTCTTTTCCTTTATATACACATCACAATTCATGTGAACTTCTCAACTCAACACACCAAATCTTTCTCTCTGTCTCTGATCTCTCTCTAGATGATGCCTCCTAATGAGCAAGAATCTAGCTTTCCGAAAACACCGGGTGCAAACCAAAGCGTAACAAGCCCGGTTCAAGAAACCCGGTTTAGCTCTCCAAGTCATGTAATCCCATGCCATGAGAACGACCACGACGGTCCGAGTCACCAATCAAGACAATCTTCGGTCCTACGCCAATCTTTACGTCCTATAATACTCAAGGTCGCTATAACTATTTATATAATCCATTTACTTCTATTAGTTGCATACAAAAAAAAAAAAAATTATATGTTTGTTTGTGTATGTAATGTAGTTTGAGGAGTTGACGTACATTATTAAATCACAAACCGGGAAAAAAAACTACTGGTTCGGTTCACAAGAACCAAAACCGAACCGGTTAGTTCTCAACTGCGTAAGCGGAATAGTCAAGCCAGGTGAGCTACTAGCAATGCTTGGTCCATCAGGCAGTGGCAAAACAACGTTGGTAACGGCGTTAGCCGGACGTTTACACGGTAAGCTCTCAGGAACCGTTAGCTATAACGGAGAACCGTTTACAAGCTCCGTGAAACGCAAAACGGGATTCGTTACGCAAGAAGACGTTCTCTACCCACACTTAACGGTAATGGAGACGCTAACGTACACTGCTCTGCTCCGTTTACCCAAAGAACTGACCCGGGAAGAGAAAATCGAGCAGGCGGAGACGGTGGTTTCGGATCTCGGGTTGACCCGGTGTTGCAACAGCGTGATCGGAGGCGGGTTGGTCCGAGGGATATCGGGTGGGGAGAGAAAACGGGTTAGTATAGGGCAAGAAATGCTCGTGAACCCGAGTTTGTTGCTTCTTGATGAGCCGACGTCGGGGCTTGATTCCACGACGGCGGCGCGTATAGTCGCCACGTTGAGGACGTTGGCGCGTGGTGGACGGACGGTGGTGACGACGATTCATCAACCGTCGAGTAGGCTTTATAGGATGTTTGATAAAGTGTTGGTTTTGTCTGAAGGAAGTCCGATTTATAGTGGAGATTCGGGTCGGGTCATGGAGTATTTTGGTTCGATTGGGTTTCAACCCGGGTCCAGTTTCGTTAACCCGGCAGACTTCGTGCTTGATCTTGCTAACGGTAGGTAACATAATCTATTTCGAAGTTTCTTTTTTAAAACATAATAAAGACAGCAAAAAAGCTAAACACTTTGTTTGGTTTTTGCTCATGCATCATGAGATAGGTGACAACGACAATTTCAATCCCTTTCTTTGCATATTTATTACAAGCTTTGTCCTTTTAATTTTAAGTTTAATTAAAAGTGATAAAAAAGTTTGTTAATAGTGGAATAAATCATGTGTTTAGATTTTGCTTTTGACTATATATTTTGATTATATTAAACAAATATTTGGTATTTTTTCAGGAATTACTTCGGATACAAAGCAATATGATCAAGTCGAGATGAATGGGAGATTAGATCGGCTTGAAGAACAAAACTTAGTGAAACAGTCGTTGATATCGTCTTATAAAAGACACTTGTATCCATCTTTGAAACAAGAAGTTTCTAGAACATATCCACAAGATCAACGGGCCAATGGGTCGAGAGCAAAGTCTTTAACAAGTAAGGTCATTAAAGTTTAACAGTAATTTTTCTATGTATGTAGTTGATTGTAATTGTTGTAACGATGTGTCGTATATACGAAGATCGATGGCCAACGAGTTGGTGGATGCAGTTCTCAGTTTTACTAAAGCGAGGTTTAAAGGAGAGAAGTCACGAATCATTTTCAGGACTCAGAATATTTATGGTCATGTCGGTTTCTTTACTTTCTGGCCTCTTATGGTGGCATTCTCGCGTTGCTCATTTACAAGATCAGGTATACTTAACTGTGATATTGAAACTTTGATTATCCTTCTTTTTTTTCAAACCATAAATCTCTGTTTTAAATTCTGAATGCAAACATGAAACATAAAACAGGTGGGTCTATTGTTCTTCTTCTCTATATTTTGGGGATTCTTTCCTCTGTTCAACGCCATATTTACATTCCCTCAAGAACGGCCAATGCTCATAAAAGAGAGATCCTCAGGCATCTACAGACTTTCCTCTTACTACATTGCAAGAACAGTTGGCGATTTACCAATGGAACTCATTCTTCCAACGATCTTTGTGACCATCACATATTGGATGGGAGGTCTCAAGCCATCTTTAACCACATTCCTCTTGACCCTTATGATCGTTCTCTACAATGTTCTAGTGGCTCAAGGGGTTGGGTTAGCTTTAGGAGCAATCTTGATGGATGCGAAAAAAGCAGCAACATTATCTTCGGTCTTAATGCTAGTGTTCTTACTAGCAGGAGGTTACTATATTCAGCATATACCGGGTTTCATCGCGTGGTTGAAGTATGTTTCTTTCAGCCATTATTGCTATAAACTTCTTGTTGGAGTTCAATACACAAGGGATGAGGTTTATGATTGTGGACCAGGGTTGCATTGTAGTGTTATGGATTATGAAGGGATTAAGAATTTGAGGATAGGGAATATGATGTGGGATGTTTTGGCTCTTGCCCTTATGTTGTTTCTTTATAGAGTTCTTGCTTACCTAGCTCTAAGGAATTTGTGACTGCTTCTAATGTGTAATTTTCTTAACTATGTATAAGCCAAGTAAGTGTAAAATATTGATAAGGTTATTAGTGTGATTTATTTGTCTTTCGCAACTCAAGAACACTATTAGTTAGTAATCTCTTGCCTCTTTGAGAGATAAAGAAGAAGGATTAAAAATATCCAACTGCATACGAAAGTCATAATGGAACTATAAACACTAACTATTAACCTCAAGTTCTCAAACTTCACCAGTGAGTTAAATAGCAGACATATGGATAAACCCATGCATGTACTACAGTTTACTTTACATCCAGGGCCGACCATAAATTATTAGAATAGCCACGTGCTCCTAAAATCTCAAGGCCGGCCCTGTTTACATCGCTTAGGCCATTCAAAAATACTTAATCTAATAGTTATATGATGTGTGAGAGACTATATCAAAGTGATCTACGTAAATATCCTGACAGGTAAATATTATGAATTCTGAGAGTCTATCAGACATCGATAGTGAGATGGAAATGCTCTAAAACGAATAAGCGTCACGTAACTATTTTTGAATGACAATGTTTTATGTATATATTAAACATTTTATCGGTATCTGATTGACGGATCCATCTACGGGTATAACTAGGTTGGCAGGTTTCTGGAGGTCTTCATGAGAAGCAGGATCGTTTTAGCAGCGAGTTCTCGCTGTAGATGAACTTTAAAAGCAGCAGACTCACAGATCTCTTTGTTGCAAGACTCTTAAAAAATGAATGGTAAAACAAGACATGGAATCTAGCAATTGCTTTCTTTAATCTAGTAAAATTTTATTTACTTTTCTTGCCTTTTGTTTGTTCTTTCATAATTAAGAAAGTACATTTTCTCGGTTCTTGGCTGTTTGTTCTAAATGCAGAAATATAAGATCATTTAACGTTAACTTGTTAATGAATTGAATGTAAACTTTTTTGCTAAGATATCCTGTATAACGTTCAAGGATAATCGTTAATCAATTAGAGAAATAAATAGATGTTCGAAGTAATTAGCAGAAATCTTCCCTTGAATTAAATAAATCATCATCATTTAGAATTTTGACGCGTTCTTTTCAATTTAGTATGATTTGGTTGGTCTAATTTACATCAATATACATACAAACAAATGCGATCCTTGTCATTGACCATGACCTGACCTGTTATGAATCCGATTTTGACTCAGTCTAGTGAGTTGGCTAGTGGCGGGTCTACACTAGCTTATAATCCATGAGATTCTCATTCTCTCTTGTTTTTTCTTCGAGTAAAGTATGTGTTGTCCTCCATCAAGAATGATATTTAGGAACAAAAGACAAATCCAAAGTACAATATTGCGCTCTATTTACATGTAGAGCAAACTTCTCATTCAGCACAATGATCTTAGTTACTATAAATAGCTCACACGCATATCCTATGATCTTTTCTATACACATGCACATTAATACTTTGCGTGAAGCTACCATAAAGTCTTCTTCCTCACCTTGGAAAGTCGTCTATCTGTGTCTCCGGTTGGCATTATAAGAACAAGTTGCATCGCACCGAGATGGATCAAGCCAGTTTTAAGCTCATGTTTGATGCTTACTGTAGAGGAGTTACCTTGTATGGACCCTACTGAGAACAAATGTTGAGCTACTGTAACAGAGCTTAGACGATAAGGAGAATGATCTATTTATGAAGTATAAATAGATCATTGGAAGAGACTCGTTTTCAATTCAAGAGACTTGCTGAATTCTTGAACTGAACTGAAGAGAGTGGATCAGTAAGAAGATCATGAACAATGTGTTATTTATGAAAGGTGAATTTGGTGAATGGAAGAATCATCTCACTCCTCAAACGGCGGAAACGATTGAAAAGATCGTTGGATGATAGACTACGAGGTTTGTTTTGATGTTTCAATAAAGTTGCTTTCACTTAAAGCACATAAAAATTTCAGCGAACAAAGTTATAAAAATTTCATAGGTGGTTAAGTCTTAAAGGTTATTATAACAAACTAGCAAGGTTAGGTCTCGGAACTACACCTCCAAAATTCTAAATCACATCACCACCACACCACCATATAAGACAAAAAGGGTTGGGGGTCAATTTACTGCTTTCTTCACTTGCGGTTTACCATCTTATTATACCTGCATTCAGAACAAGAGAGAATTAATGGTTGGATTTCAAACTCATATATTTGATACCATGTATGTAGAATAGAGAAGCATGTAAACAAAACCTCTTGATATGATCAAGTATCAGAAGCCTTGCCCCTGGTGGAATGTTCATTTCTTGTAGCTCCCTAGATACAGAATTAATGAAAAAAGGAGACAAGACAAAGTTTAGTTTATAATAAACTCAAGGTTGTAGTTTAAAGGTGATTGTGTGTATAGGTAACCTATCAGTGAGCAAAGGCAAGGTGGGATCAGTGAGATGTCCCTTCTTGAAGTTCTTCTCATATTTCTGGAGGCCTAGCTTCGATAGCATAGCTCTTGTCTCTGTGTATAAGGCTTCTCGGGCATTGCGCGATGTAATTGTTTCATTCACCTGAATGGGAAAGGAAAAAAAAAAAAAAGGGTGTTAAGTAAGAAGAAGAATATATACTCTTTTGTATTTGAGTAATGAACAAACAAACAATCAATCAAATCACCTTATACACTGTTCCAGTCAAAACAGCGAAACCAGCAGCGGTGAAGAGTGCGTGTGCAGGTTGTGCTTTCACGCCTTGTTTCACAAATGATAATGCCAACCCAGCACCTGATCCTGAGACTATGCTGCAAAAGTTGTAATCAATATCAAAACTCAACCCTGTAATAAAATATACAAACATCAATTAAAAAATAAAACAGGTTTCATCAAATCAAATATCACGCATGACGCATCTTGAAACATACATTAACATTAGAGAAACTAGGAAACAAAAGTAAAGTTTTGGAAAGAATGAAAAACATTACTGATTTGTAAGATCATCTTTGCCTCTAATTTCAGTCATTATGGATTTAATACCAAACCCTGCAGCGCCAAGTGCTGAACAGTCCCGAGCATACTGTATTCACGAAACCCAAATTCTCTTTTGATTAGAAATTAAATTACTTGGAAAATGGGTTTTATGATGGCTGAACAAAACCTGAGCTCGTCTCAGTGGGGCCATGACCATTCCTATTATACCTCCGTAAGCAGCTCCGGTGACACCGCCAACTGTGGTTGCCAAGACGGCGTCTATCAGCTGGTACTTCCGTGATGAATGCTCCGTCACCATCGTATCTCTGCCGTCACCGGCGAGTCGCGTCGTCATTGTTTGTTCGCTTTTCATTTCCTCTTTCTCTCTAATCTAGATAGTAGTTATTACTGGTCGTGCTCTTCAAGTATAAAGGATGTGTTGTCTTCCACGAGAAGATAAACCCAACTACAGTATTGCTATTTACTCGTATAGAGCACACTTCTCATTTACTACAACGAGCTTACTATATAAAAAAAGCACACACGCATTACTAAGAGCATCTGTAACTCACCTCTATTTTTTTGTTCTAAAATCATGTTCGTGTGTAATCATTTAGAACAACGAGCTTACTACTGTGGCCTTTTTTTTTCTTTTTGTCACTGAATTTTTCATTAAAACAAAGCAAAAGGTGGGGGGGGGGGGGAGATGGGCCTAAACTATGGCTCAAATCCGAGGTCCATTATACAGATAGAGAAGACAGGAGTGCCGCTTTGGCTACCCCGTCAGCTACATAGTTTTTTGATCGCGAGATAGGATAGAAAGAGATAGATGCAAATTCAGAGGATATCACTCGGATGTCAGTGACAATACCGATGATTTCTTTGGACTGAGATTTGCCGACAATCGCTTTGATAAGCGTTGAATTATCGGAGAGTACT